CGCTTCTCGGTGCTGCTCTTCAACTGCCTCCTCACCTTCGGCTCCTACTTCTGCTTCGACATCCCGGGCGTGCTGCAGGACCAGTTCCAAGGGGTGAGTGCGGCCCCGAGTAGCAGCGCGGTGCTAGTGCGGGGGGGTCTTCAGCCCTCGGCAAGGTGCCAGGAGCCATCGTGCTCAGCCCAACGAGCCCGAAGGTCTGGGCGCGATGGAGGGCGGAAGAGACCCTCGGGGTCTGCAGGCCTCCCGGCAGCGTGCACGGGCACCGCAGCTCCCGTGCGCTGCCTCTCCAAAGGCAGCGTGGTGCCACAGCATCATGCACGGTGCCTGGGGCTGCGCAGGGTGCCACGGCATCACGCAGGGTCCCTCAGGATGTGTAGGGTGCCACAGCATCATGTGCCGTCCCTGGGGCTGCGCAGGGTGCCACGGCATCATGTGCCATTCCTAGGGACGCACAGGGTGCCACAGCATCACGTGCGGTCCCTTGGGATGTGTAGGGTAAACACGAGCAGTGTGCACAGGCACTGAGATATGCTCTTCTTCAGGGTCAAGCTGATATCCCCTCTGCTGTTTCTACTCTCCAACCAGGAATGACAGGCTCAGGAAAATGTTAGCAGTTTTTTAAAGATATGGTTAATCTGTAACTCTTCAGACAGTGGACTTCAGGCTAAATTGAGTGCAGTTTGTCATTGCTTTACAAGTACTGGGTTAAAAAGGAAGAAATTAGGCCAGTATTTATTCCTTGTTCCTCCACAGCTTCTATAGGACTGTTGAAGAATAGTCAATTACTTATTTACAGAGTAAAGGAGAGGTGATATGTAAAATATATATTATTGACTCCGGGGAGTTGGTGTGGAAAGCCTAGCACTCATCTGCTAGGAGGGGTAGATCTCTAGCAGCTGGAAGATCTAGCTTTTCCTTTTCCAATCATACCCTGTAAAGCTGAAGAGATGTTTCTTTTCAAGAGCAGACCAACCTCTCTAAATCATGCCAGGGCTACCCATTTCCTACTGCCCAGCAAAAGCTTTATGGTTGTGAACTAAAATGGAGTGTTCTTATACGCTACATTTATGCGCTGCTTAAAACTTTATAGTATGTCATGAGGAATTGGAGCAAGCTAAACTGGAGCCAAGAAGATAACAAATCAAATAAATCTCGTGGTTTATTCTTGGCCTTTCTGATGTATGTAGGAAAGTGCTGAGCTCCTGCAGCAACTGCCACAGTGAAGGACAGAGAAGAGGTATCGCTGGTCAGGCATTTCTCGGGTGTTAAGGATGTTGTCCTGGGAGAAAGGACAAGTCCTCTAATTCCTGATCATGCAAATAGGAACTGAGAAATAACAATCCAGTGAGAAAGAACTTCCTTCATCTTTAAAGGGGACCTGGGAACACTTGCGTTTTCCTGTCCGCTTTCTAACAGGGATTCTTGGACTCATTTTGCAGAATTTGACCTGCCCCAATGGAACCCATCACAACAGCACTGGACAAAACAGCACGTTGGATTGCGTCGAGGGCCTAGGAATGACACCTGCACAGTACAACTTGCTCTATGCCATCTACGCTTGGACGTAAGTCACTTTTCTCCTACTTTGTGTGTGTGTGTGTGTGTGTGTGAGGGGGCTGGTTGTTCTTCACTTGAACCCAGCCCCAAATGTTTCTGTTCTTGTTTGCTTCTAGAAATGCAGTAGTGGTGATTCTGGCTGGATTCCTGATCGATAAACTGGGAAATCGCTGTAAGTTCTGAGGACCAATTAATTTACTCTCCTACTGGAGTGGTGTTTCAAGCTGTTCTGTCAGTGCCAAGGAACGACCAAAGGTTCCCTTTGAGTGAGATCTTGTGGGAGTGGGAGAGGAGCTGCAGCTTTGTGTGGCGGGGACCAGGGGTTTAGTAGATTTGCTCTGTAGATTTTAGTAGATTTGGCAACTGAGGCCTTTTCATCCTTTTACTGCTGACATCTGAATTTACACAGTGGGGCAGTAAACTTGCTTTCCTCTGGCACAGATGGGACAGTGTTGCCTGCTTTGGATGGGACAGGCTGATAGCATCGTGCTCCCTGCCCTGGCGTCTGCTCTGGCGTGTGGAGTCGTCTCTCGGGCCGTGCAATCCTCACAAATGCAGCTGGGCTCTGTTCACAGGCCGCCTCTTAGAGATGAGGCGGAGGCAGAGAAAAGGTTTGCTCCAGGCCACGGTCCATAGTGGAGCTCGGGGTAGGAATTGCAACTGTGGAGTCCTTCCTTTCTCTTCTGCCTCTGCCTTAGTAGTATATTAGTCATTTTAAATATTCCCACAAATTTCTTACAAAATTAAAAACAACATGTAAGTTGATGGAAGCGCTCAGGTTTAGCTCCTATTTTGAGGCTGATTTATTTATTTATTTATTTATGGTCAAAAAATGCCTTTGTCTTGATTTTCAGCACATCTGTTGAGGTTTGCCTTTTTTTTTTTTTTTTCCTTTTCTCTTTGTTTCTCCCTAGTTGGTGTCTTTGTTTTCTCCCTTCTCACTGTGCTGGGATCATCGATCTTTGCGCTGGGCTCTCATTTCAAGGGGTCACCATATCTCCTGCCATTGATGCTGACAGGGAGACTGCTCTTTGGCTCTGGAAATGGATCGCTTACTAGTAAGGATTTCATATTTTCTTTAGGCTTCACCAGAGAGTCATGACATATCCGTATTTTGCCTCCTAGATGCCTCTAGCCTGAGCAGCTCTGTTCACCCCTACAGTGTAACGCTCCTGACTAGGTCTGTCTGTTCAAGAGGGATTTTTTTGTCTTCTCCAAGTTGTGCAGAATCGTATCACAGCCTTCTGGTTCAAAGGGAAGGAGCTGGCACTGGCCTTTGGACTGACCCTCTCCTTCTCCCGTCTTGGAAGTGTCCTCAACTTCTTCTTCACCCAGCAGTTTGAGACACGCTTTGGAATACAGTGGACGCTCTGGGGCGGTGAGTTCCTCTGGGTCTTTGGCTTTCTGTCCTCTAGGCCTGACACTAAACTGTTTAGTTTCTGCATTGCTGCCTGAAAATCCTCACTAAAGCTGTGGTGTTTGCACTGCAGCTGTGTTTGTGGCATCTCTGTAATGTTTTAACATCTGCAGTCATGGATAATCAGTGCTCAGTGTAGGTTTACTCCCATTGACTGAATGGAAACAAGAGATTGAAATGAGAGAGGAATATAATGCACTTGTTCTTCTGTATTTTGCCAGCTTCTGGCAAAGCCACTGGCTCCTGAAGTAGTCTTTATATTGGTCTCAGCATAAGTTATTTTACATAGGGAGGTGGATGTTTTACATACATCTAAGATGTAGGTTTAAATTACTGTGGGAAGCAGAATCTGCATTACAAGTTTCCTCCTATGAATCTGTTCTGCAGTTTTCCAAGGCTTGGGCATCTGTCCTGCCTCCTGTGCAGCGAGATGGGAACCATCCCTAGTGGCAGGGATGATCCAGGGTCACAGAGCAGCTAAGTGGCAGCACTTAGATTGTCTGGTGTTTCAGAAAGCAGGGAGCGGTGGTGTTAGGGAGACCTGCCTTGTGACATCCCTTTCGGGATGATTTTAGGAGTTTTTGGACTTTGCATCGGCCTGGGATTTTAAGCATGGGAACCCTGCACCCGGATGCAAGTCTTGTGGACTTCTTCTTTTTTTTTTTTTTTTAAGCAAATGAAGCTAAAACGCCGGATAAGTAAACACCTTTAAGGCAGGATAATGGTGACTGATGAAGGGCAGTAGAATTTAGTGGCCAGAGAGCTCGAGGACTGTGCCTGAGAGCTGTTACGAGGCAAATAGTTCCCCTATTCACTGTTAACATTAGGAGAAGCCAGGAAGGTGAATCACAGAGTTTTCTGCACCTTGAGTGCAGTTGCTTCTGTCCTTCAGCTCCCTCCAGCCTGAGGAATTTCCCCGACCTGCTGTGTGTTTTCCAGGTACCCTGCTCTGTGTGCTTGGCTTCCTTTCAGCCATTGCAGTCAGTGTGCTAGATAAAGTGGGCATGAAGCAGCTTGGCTTGGATGGGGTCATCCAGCAAGAATCCAAGAAAGTGGTACGTGGCGCATGGACGGCTTTGCCCCCTTGGTGTTTGAATAGCTGAGGTGGGTGACCATGAAATGAGAACAAGAGCTGGTCAGGGCTGCAGGAGGGCACTAGTGGTGCTTTGTGACATCTTGCATAGCTGTTCTTCAAGTCCAAGGATATTGCATCTGCAAGCCAGCAGGCAAATGGAAATTATTTTTTGTTTACAGTGCCTGTATTTCTGGCTTTTCAGAGAGCTGGCGAGAGTTTTTCAGTGACTTGGCACTCTCATGATGTTACTTTTTTGAGCCACTTACTTAGTACTTGACTGTAGGTGGCTCAAGTGAGGATTTGTTTATGCGTAAAACTGGGTACTAGCCTCTGTGGAACTGCTTGCCAGTTCACAGAGCTGAGACAGAAAATAGCTGTTGGGTTCAGTACTAGATGACCCCCCCTGCCAGACCTTATCTTCCATCCCTGTTGGCTGGCATTCCCCAGTGGAGGAATAAGCATCACCAGTTGCAATTCTTATAGTACCAAAATCTAATAGACAGCTTCCTCCTCATGACAGTTCTCAGTGATTTCTGTATCCCAGTATTGTGGCTGCAGTTTTACTGTCTTTTCCCTGTATTTTGCATAGGAGTTTGCAGTAGGTTCTGAGTAGAGCCTGCTCAGAATAGTATCTTGCAGCCATAACCTTTAAAAATATAAAGAGTTTTTATTATTTTGTTTTGTTTGACTGAATAGCATTACAAAAGGGAGTCACAGCAGATGCCAAATTTCTCTTAGAGGTGCACAAGCAGCCTTTTCATCCCCTTTTATGTGCTGTTCCCTCCTAAGCCTTTTATGACCTTCGCTAGCGTTCAGGAGGGGACGTCTGTGTGACAGTGCAGCCCCTTCCCTGCTGAGTGAGGGTGCATCTTGTCTTTGCAGCGCATCCAGGACGTCCGTCGCCTTCCCCTCCGCTACTGGCTCCTGGTCCTCACCATCATGTTCTTCTACAACGGGGTCTTCCCCTTCGTGGCGGATGCCAGGTACTGGCCCTATGGCCGTCGTCCCTCTCATGGATTTCAGCCCATGAGCCTTGCAACTCTTGATTTTCAGCTTGCTCTTTCTGCTCATGAAACACGAAACTTGTCTTTAATGCTCATTTAAAGACTATCAATCAAGACTCTTTGACCTCTTTTTCCTTTCAAAGATGATCCAAGATAAACAAGACTTTTAAAGCAAAGCAGAAGTATCTCAAAAAGCTGTATCCAATATTTCAAGCTGTGAAAATTGCTAAAGGGGAAACAGAAAGATTGGATAGGAGAGGAAACTCTTTATTCTTTTTCTTTTTTTTTTCTTTTTTTTTTTAAGCCTGCAGACATTTCCTTTTTGCAAAAATCCAGCAAAGTGGCAGCCTTTAGAGATGATGGAGCTTTAGTTTCACAGGCACCATGCAGCTCTGCCTTGGAGACCAACGCTAAGCTTGCATCAGCCTGGGTTTCTGAGTGAGGAACCCCCTGCACCTCAGTGCAAACCCTGCAGCCTTCATTTGTTCAGCTGCTTTTGCTTGAGATGGAGCAGCAACTTGCGTGAATCAGGACTGCTGCTTCTGGGCCTGGCTTGGCCATAAACTGTCATTTTTGCCTTTCTGTGTCTGTAAAACGTGGATGATGCAGCTCCTAGCACATAATGATAGTGGATTTTTATGTATACTATAGATACTAGCAAAAGTCACAGAGGAAAACATGATATTTTGGGGGGAGCATTTCATTAGTGATGTATAGGAAGTCACGCAGAAGTCTGGAATGAAGAAGTGTTTCTAACAAACAAGCAGGTAGGCTCTTAAAAACATGAAAAAATGGCAAGGATCATCAAGGCCTCAATGAGACGGGCTGTCTGCGAGCTGCCTTGTCCTTTCAGCTGGGAGTAGTGCTTTTCGATCGCACAAAAACCCAAATACTGCAATTCTGTATGTGTTCTGTTGGCAAGCAAAAATCCATGCATCAAGAACCATGTTTTAAATGTCTTTTCTGGCAAGTGCTGCCATACTGCTTTCCAGTGGGAAAAATTACGGTGCTACGGCCACTGATATCCGGTGAATTGTCTATTAGAATAAATCTATTAGAATAAATCTTCAGGGAATGTGATCTTGTCTCCTACTTTGGTGACAGCACAAACTATAAAAGCTTAGTATTAATAATACAATTAGTAACTATGTAAATAACCAAGCTAAGTTTAAATAGATACAAGATTTCTAAATAAACCAGCCTCTCAAAGCTGTTGAGTTGTGACTGTAAATTCCATAAAGAATCTGAGTAAGTTCTTAGCTTGTTTTTGTGCATCACAAATGAAGGAGGAAGGCTAACATCCTGACAATGAGAACAAAGTTAAGTTTGTTTTCTGCTTTAGAACCAGGTCTTCTTAAAGGTGCCAAAGAGCAAAAGGGAGAGAGAGTTCCTGGTACTTTTAACAACTGTTAGAATTAACTGTTGATCTTCTCTGATGGATTATTTAAATGTATCTGACATTTCTAAATATTTTCTTGCTTCTCACCATTCTCACTCCACTATTGAGAAAGCTTTCTGCCTCTTCAAAGAGAAACGCGCGCACACACACACACACACACACACACACAAAAATCAGCCTGCGTGTTTGTGCTGGGCAGTTGCAGTTCTGCTTGGGAGCAGTGCTGATGTAATTGCACATATGCTCAATTTTAACCTGCAGTTTTACTCTAAACTTGCAAAGGAGTCTTGAAAGTGTTGGTTTAAGCTGACAACTTCTCTATGATGAGCACCAATTAAAAAGCAAACAAAAACAAGCCAGAAAACAAATGACTGGACCTACAAACCAACTGAACTTGTTTGCAAGTCATCTTCTTCAAAACCCTCCCTTGTTCATGTTTGTGCTCCGACTTATTTTCTGCCAAAGTAACCAGACCAAGAATCCTAATTATGTAACTTTTTCCCCCTTCATTTTATTTTTAGCAAGTTTATCCAGGATAAATATTCTGGCTACAGTCAACAGGCAGCCGCTTATATCGCTGGGGCAGTGTACGACAGCTCCCTTGTTCTCTCTGCAGCAGTTGGCATATTAATTGTGAGTATCCATGCAATTAATCATGAGTAGCCACACACCGAAGTGCAAGAGCTCACTTGCTGAAAATTAACTATTTGCATTTGAGATTTTTTTTTTCCCAAAATGTCTTTGTTATCAACCCTATACCCAGAATTTCGCCTCTTGTTGCCAAACAAGCAGGTCTGTAATTTCTTGCAACCTGCACAATGCTCTTCTGTCTGAATTACAAGATATTTAGGTAACCTCTTCCCTTCCATTCCCTAACTCTGCTCTGGTTGCAAACAACATGGTCCTAAACCTGGGGAAATGGCTGTATTTTGTCAGAAGTCTGAGCCTGGTATAGAAAGGGATCAGGATAAGCTTGGTGGGTGGATAGGAGAGGACAACTTGCACCTGATCAGTCTCTGTTTTGTCCCAACTCTGCATCTCCTTATCTCCATAACTGCAAGGATACAACTGTGTCTTTCCTGTGGGAATGCCAGGGTCCCTTGTAATAGGCCTCCCTCTGTTTCCTTCCACAGGACTATGTTGGACTGAGAGGCATCTTTGCTGTTGGCTGTGCTGTGCTTACTCTGCCAGTCTTTGCTCTCCTGGCGTTCACATTCGTCCCCCCACTAGTGGCTACCATCTGGTTGGGGGTTACTTACTCTTTTGCTGCTGTAAGTTCACAACCCACCCTGCTCTAGTTGTGGTTCATGGCTGGGCCCTTTTTACAGGCTGACTAACATTTATTACCTTAAGCTGCTGGAAAAGGCTTGGAAAGGGGCAAGAACCTTCAGCTAGGCTGAGGAGGACAAACAGCAGGCTGTTCTAGGGGAAGGCGTGGGTGTTTATTTAGTGGGAATAATTACTTTTTAAACCTGATGAATATCTCATATCTTTACACTAGGCTTGAGCTAATTCCTGCCTCTGTTACCCCTCCCAGGCCAGTATGTGGCCATCCATACCACTTGTGGTGCCCCAAGCAACACTAGGGACTGCAATGGGACTTGCAACTTCCGTGCAGATGGTTGGAGTTGGCCTTTCCAACCTCATTGTTGGACACATTCTAGGGACGAAGTCCAGGTGAGAGGCTTCTCTTGCTTTTTGTCAAAGCAGAGACCATTCATGGTGCTGCAGAGGAGAGCTGTGAACTGTAAACAGTCTCTTTGCAATCTGAAGCTGCAAGTAATGTCTAAAGGATCATGAAGTAACTATTTTTTTTTATTTAATTATTTTTTAGTGAATTAAAGATCCCACTGTGGCGCTGGCAGCAGATGATGATCTTTATGTTGGCCAACACTATTGCATGTATTGTTGCTTCCGTTAGCCTCAATGTGGTGGACAAGAAGCAGGTAAGTGTGACAAAAGGTGAAAAACAACCTTATGTGAAGTTTTCCTGACTTGATTTGATTGATGTAATGGCTGTTAGATGTGTTTATAATTAATTCTCCCACCACAAAAATAAGACTGCATAAAGTATCTGCTAAAATATTGATGCAGTGTGTGCTCGTCCCTCCTAGTACCAGGCTCTGGGCAGCTGTAGTGTTGTGGGAGAAGGTGCAGTGATGTACGTGGGCAGGAGAAGCAGTGTCCTTTCAGTCACTCACTGTGTCTGTCCCCCTCCAGGGCGGGACGCTGAACCGGACACGGAAGGGAGCACCCGTGGAGCAGGAGGAGAGGCAGGGAGCAGATACGGCACCGCTCCTTGAGGATGACACCAGGAACGAAGGCTCCAGCGGATGAACCTGCTGCACTGCAAGAACAGGGATGGTTGCCAGACACAGTATTATTGATCATTTCTACTTGAAAGGGAATTTTTAGCTTGTGCATTCTAAACATTCTTAAAGAGAAACCTCGTTCTGTCATCCATTAAGATGTGTGAAGGGAGCTGTCTGCACAAAGGGAATGTTTTCGGTTCTTTGCGTCTGCAACACAAGTGGAACAGGGCTGAGGCACCGTTCTTGGTGTTCTCTGCCACATATAGAAACCTGCAGGAAATGCTTTTCAGGAGCTACACTCCAGTAAGTCAAATGAGCCCAGCAGAAGCTTGTTCATAAGCTGTTAGATAGTTTCTTTAACCCTTTTTCAATCTTGCATTAAACTCCCTGCCATGAGGGGCACCTGGCTTGACTGCTGCTGTTCCTCAGCCTCCAGACTCCATCCTGCACAGCAGCAGCTCTCTTCCATAGACTCCTGGTCCAGTAATTGCCCTGGATCATCACTCTTCCAAATTAGATATGCATAAAATTAACACCATCACTATCATTCAGGTAGGAGTGTGAGACTAAGTTACTCAAACTATCAGCTTTTACACATATAGGCATATCTTAATTGCTAATTACCTTATTAGAAATGCTTCTGGAAGGCACATCTTCATTTGCTCTCAAAAGCAGGTGAAGTTTTCATCTCCAATGGTGTTTTAAGACTAACTTGGTTTAAGTCATGAATGCTAAAGCTTGTTTTACTGAGCCTTTCTGCTATGCCATCTCACAAAGTGTTTACAAAAGCATAAAGGATGATTTAGAATGAAGTAAACTTTAACATAGCTGAGTACAAGCAGTAAATTATAAATTTCAAAGAGAAAGAAAACCCTGTTCAAGATGCTTTCAGTTTACTAGCATTTATATTAAAAGGTAGGTACTGGCAGCATCCATGTGGCTTTAGTGGTTATGAAAGAAGACAAACCTTCTCTTGTAGAGAACTTTGTTTTTAACTAAGTTATTTTAAGCAAGTTGTTCATATAGTGAATCCATTTCATAGTACAGACAATTAAAGGATTTATCTTAAGGATTCAAATGCAGCTGAAACTTAGGGGTGGGGGGAGAAGTCAAATAGCAGGTGCCATATAGCTGCTTATTCACTGATTAAACAGCACTAGATAAGTACTTGACCTTTCAATGTGATGCAGCTAGAGAAACCACCTGCTACTGTTTAAAACTTCATGCAAGCTTGTAGCATTTACACCTGCCACCCACCCCTGGTGTTTTCACTAGGCTGGTATGTTAGCCTAGTGTTTTTTTTTTTTTTTTTTTTTTCCCTTCCTAGAAAAATCCCAGCTGAATTTCCAGCTGTGTTGCTTGTGTGTGCCAAATATCACCATTATCTGTTTTAAAAGCAATGCCTACTACTGGAGCCAGCCTCACTGGCAGGGGGTCCTCTGCTTCATGAGTTTGCAGAGCAGCTCCATGCTGCTACAGCTGCCCTCACAGGGGTTGTTCCTGTGCCAGGATTGCCCCTAGAAACCCTGTATTTTTATGCTTTGTGGAGAAACCCCAACCCTGCTCTTCCTCATTTACCATCCCATGATTTAATTCCCTCTTACAAGAAACTTTAGTGTGTGATAGAGCACCCTTAAACCTGCTGCTGTTTCACAGTGCTCCTGGTACTCCAGCCCTGGAAACTTCCTAGGTTTCCCTATGAGGCTTCCTGCATTTTTATCATATGGACACACACCTGTAACAGATACAACTTATTTTGACTACAAAGTCTTTTGTCAATATCTGTGCAAAGATGAAGGCACATGTTTTATAAACCCTTTTGTATACTCTAAAGATGGGGAAATTGTAGTGGTCCTCAAGCCTCGAGCTCTAAGACCCTTTTTGGGTTAGGCTGATTGAAAGAGCAGTTAGAGCCTCTTACAGGGGAGAGTTGCTCCTGCAAGGCTGCTCATGTCTTAAAGGTCACGCTAATAAACCTTGAAGCTGACATACATAACTGCAATGAGGAGGTAGAGAATAAAGTTTCCTGTAACAGCACCTAATAATCTCTATTAAGCAATATCAAGGACTTCCTGTTGCTCCCTTTTAACTACTTTTTTCATTCATTACTCACTCTGCACTGCTGACAAGAAAGCTACCTGCACTTTTCCTGTCCTCCTGGTTCTTGTTTACCAGCTGCTTCTGGGGTGCTAATGCTCACTGCTGAGAGACAGACTTTCGAGAAAGTCATCGCGCAGTTCCCCAAGCTGAGCTTGCCAGGAAGATTAAAGGGTGACATTCATGAAGGAGAGTGCCGAAAGAAATGGAGAGCAGCAATCAGTTAGTCACGGTGTAATTTCCATGGTGCCACCCTGATCATTTATATGGGTAATGGAGTCACCCTCTCCCGAGCCTCAGGCACCCCTGGAAGCAGGGAGCACTTTTGCTGCCACATTTTGGCACAACTTTCTGCTGTATGAGGCATAGTGAGAAACAACTCTTGAAATACAAACTCTGTGACAGCTGAAAGGGAACTCGGGTTCAGGCACATTGTGCTAGGATTCAGGCAGTTTGCACTAAGGTGCATTTGTTGTTTTGTTCTGGTCTATGCTCCCCAGAAATATGTTAAGTGCTTTTATACAGTACAGCACGTGTTTACAGAAATCGTGCAAGAAAAGCCATCAATGTTATGAAGAAACAGGCACTGCATTAAGATCTTAGTTCAGCTAGACCACTCTGCTTGCAATAAACAGCTCTGTGTTAAAGCATGTTTGCAAGATGAAGGGTTGCAACTGAAAGAAAAGGAAAGTTGGACTCGAGAGGATAAAATTCACCCCATAAATAAATAGATAGATAGATACAGGAAAGTTGGACTCGAGAGGATAAAATTTACCCCATAAATAAATAAATAAATAAATAGATTGAATTTCATCAGAGCCTCAAGCACAATTCATTAAGAGACACATCAAGGGAATGAAATGCTGGGTGGCCAGATGGCTGCAGCACAGCTCTGAAGATGTGAGTGAGCACCCCACATACCTTCACAGAGAGGTAGCACAGTCAAATTCTCCTCCATAACATAAAATATTGGACAGATAACCTGGATACTCAGACTTCTCTGCACCCCTGTGAGATTACATACAAGCAACTGCAAGAATTATTCGGTCATCTTGGAATTAATAGGAAATTCACAATAGCAGTTATTTAGTTTGTAAAGAATTGTGTCCATACAATCTTGTATTAAGACAAGCTTCTCCCATTAGACAAGTTGCAAGAATAAACTTCAGATATTCCAACTCTGATCAACCTCTACAAGTAATTCAGAAATCAAAAAATTTTCATACAGTTTACTGAAAACAGACAGACCTTCCTCATTACTGTGGCAAAATCTCCTGTTCATCGTGCATTACGCAGTGATCTAACAAGCACTTGCTTGAGAAAAAGGTGCTGCACAGGAGCATCAGCCTTAGCAGTGGGACCGTGCGCTGATCCGGGCTAATCGGGTTTACAGGGATCAGGAGGGACGACACCACCTTGCAGCTGGTCTGTTCTCAGAACAGCGCGGCCTTGTACTGGATAAGCACAGTGGCAAAGTCGGGGACTAAGCAGCAGTGAAGCCTAGAATCACTCTCCCCTGTACACAGCTGACCTGCTGGAGTTGTGGTTACCTCCGCCCTGTTGCCTAAGATGGTTGGCACAAAAGTATATGCACTTGCTAGAAGTGTCGTGAAAAGTGGGGATATAATTTCTTAAATAGGAGATCCTCCTTTGGAGGTGACTTTAAATAAAAGTATTTGAATGTGTAAGTGTGTAAAAACTGTAATAAGACTGAAGAGCGTAATAAGAGCATCCCTGCGCTGTGCAAAGCAAAACAGAACATGACCCACAAATGCCACCAGCACGTGGACCAGAAGAGCCTGCCCTTCCTCCCGTCCCTTCACTCTCTCCAGGGATGGATGGCAGGCGCTCATCTCCTGAGCTGCCTCAAGCAGGTCGCCCATCTAGATTGCACATAACAAAATTCACCAGTGTTTTTCTGATGAAATAGGCTACGGATTTGTTAATAACACACAGGCGTATACAGCACGTGGTGGAGTAACAAAATACAGAGGTTTATTGACAAGTTCATGATTTATCAGTTGATTTCCAATCCCCTTCTGCCCCTTGTTTAGGGAAAAGAAGTGTTCTTATCAAACTTGCTTGATGAGTTGAAAGCATGGGTTTTGATTCTGAAGAAGGATATACAAGAAAATGAACACAGTTTAGCTAATTTAAGGCCCAGCTGGAAGTTGCTGTTCAGAAGACAGGCACTGTAGCCAATGCACATCAGCATTTCTACCTAATGTTTAAGGTCCTAAATGAAGCCAAGTCTAAAGTGAGCATCGTAGTACTAATAACAGCTAAACTCTTCAACAAACACATTCTTGACTTGTCTATCTGGTTACCTCTTAAAACCCTGTCAGCACCGAAACACAGTTGAAAGACAGAAACCTCTGGGACTCAGCCAGGTGTGAGACTCGAGAATGGCTGGTAGGAAACACATATTGGGAAGCAACGTAACTCCAGTATGGGGCTGCAGTCGGGATATTCTCCTGGGGTACAAATAACAGGGAGCTCCACGTCTATCTGAAAGGTACAAAGGCATTGACATTTCTGCTTTCCAGGGACATTCCTACCCCTCCTGCTGCCACAAAATATTTTCACACATCGAGAAGGCAGCAAGGTCCTCGTGCAGGCACCTGCCAGGGGCCAAGCAGAGCAGCCAGGCAAGCTCTGCACTCAAGAGGATGATCAGCACCTGGCCCAGCCACAGTTCCCTCTAAACAGGAACGATTTTAGGGAGCTTGGGCTAGAGAAGCAGTGAATACATATGGATAAGGCCACTTGTTCTTTGGTGTACTTGAACTACTCCCATTTTGGTATGTCAGATTTAAAAAGTCACCATTGAATACATTGAGCAGTCTGAGCAGCTAATGTTAACATTCAAGTATCAGAGCTCAATACGCTCAGAAAGTCCATTCAGAGTGAATGTCGGAGCAACCCTCCCCAACACATAGTTTATGAAAAACTATACGCACATCTTCCAAACATGATTTAAGGGAGCCAGCACCAGCATGCCCAAAAGGTCTGTATTGCTAAAAATCTTTGTGCGACCAGGATAGTCTACAGAATGTCTCCAAACAGCTACAGCCGTGGCTTGGGGATAATCCGAGTTGCTCTCGCCCCTCACCAACCAAAGTCTGAGGCAGTCAAAGGCAAATGTAAGGCCGACTAAAGACACAAGAATTCACTAACGGAGTCAGCACAGACGAACAAACAAAAAATTGCACTGTGGTGAAGACAGTCAGTCCTGGTTTCTGCAGGGCACCAAGGAAAAGCTCCTGCAGAAGCTAAGGCATTTTCATACAGTGGGTCAAAGCTAACTAGACACCTCCGTTCATTCTCCATGGTAACTGGATAAAGTTGCTTCTATTCAAAGACAACCATAAAGCTCTGTTTGCACCCAAATCATTACCAAGAAATCTCCAAGCACTCAACCAGGACTTTTAAATAAGTCTTCTAGAAGCACCTAAGTGAAATGGTCTATCAGACTGATTGGCAGATGACTGAAGGCAGCAGAAAGGTCTGTGAATAGGAGAGGAACACCAAAATGTTCACTAATACATGATGGCTTCTGACAGTATAAAAGAAATTTTCAAAGTGTTTTGTCCTTATTTCAGCAATCACGTACTCTGGAGGAGGAAGGAAGGAGGAAAAGAACCAAAGACTAAAGATGCTCAAAAACACAATGTCACTACTTGTCCCAGCAGAACATATTTACATTAAAGTGACTGCAAATCAACTCGCACTGAGAAGCTGTGTTATTTTGCCTAGAACACGGCCTATGCTGCACTTAAGACTATTTCCAACCTGGCCTCCAGGTCCCTACCCACTCACAACATTTTACACACGGAACGCACGGAAAAGCCTGACTCAACAAGGGCATCCCGAGCCACTAGCTAGCTACAAACCTAAGTCTGATGAACTCACGACAAAGCAGCATTTTTTTTCCCACAACATTACACTAACGTCCCTCTTCATAACCCACCCAGGCAGCCTGATCCTCAAGAGTCTTCCACATGCCCCTCTTTCCCCCAAAGCCCTCCCTCCCCAAATCATCAGGTTATCCTTTCTACACACTTTGGCATAACCCTCATACATCTGCCTTAAGAAGAATCTGTCCACAAGCAATAGTCTCTAAACTGACCTCACAACCACAGACAAGAGTTTCTGTGCAGACTCAGTTAGTGAACAGCTGTCCCTAGTAGAAGGCAATGCTGGATTTCCCCCCAGGGGGATTGAGAACTTTGTTGTGCGAGCGCGGCCTTGGCCCTAATCTGGGCTCATGATTGTCTAGCTTGGGTTCTGCTTCCTTGAGTCGCTCCTCTTTACCCACATCTTTTTTCTCGCCTCCACTTTCCAGTTGAGATTTGTTGTTTTCTGTAGCTGAATTAAAAAGAAAAACTTGTTACACTCTAGTGCTACATCTTACATTCACAGCACATTAAAAATACTTTCTCAGAGCCTGTTCATTTTCCTGAAAGGCTGAAGGGCACAAGCACGAATCTCACTTCTCTTGTTCTCCGTTTCCCCTCCTTGAGCAACCCGCACCTTCAGTGATGCTTTGGCACCTCCTGACAACTGGGAGATGCAGTGTGCCTGTTACTGCTGTCACACGAGCTCAAGGGCAATGCTGCCATCGCTCTTTCAACACTAGCAAGTAGAGCAGTGTGCACTGTACTGAAGTCAGCTATTTGGTGCTTACAAAATACTGCAGGTCAAAATTGCACATTTGAAGGAGGTGGCAAGGGAGAAAGGTGCAATATGACAGGTGGTTTTTCTGTTTACACAGAGTCCACCCATCCATCTATCAACGTAAGGGAACTGTTTTCCCAGAATTCAAACTGTAAGTTTCGCTTAGTCAAAAACACAGAGTCCACCCATCCATCTATCAATGTAAGGGAACTGTTTTCCCAGAATTCAGACTGTAAGTTTTGCTTAGTCAAAAATTCATTCAGTTACATTATCCTAAACATCAGCTAAGGCTTATTTAAGTCTTAATAAAAGTCTTATATTTTTAAGAGGAAGCACAAACTCCTCCTTAGCTAACATCTCAAAAAACAGCAGAGAAAAGGGTTTCTCTTGCTCACCTTCTAGCTTCTTTGGTGTTTCATCTTCCTTCAAGACAATGTGATCCTGCAATAAAACCAAAAACTTTCTTAGTATTTCACAATTTTGTCATAAAGTCCTCCAGGTCTTGCTTTGTTTCTGATCTAATGGCTTAAAACTTTTGTTTTTGAGCAATCAGAAGCCTTTTAAGACCATTTTTTTCTAGTCATCCTAATTAATTGTCAGAAACACATCACAGTGCTTCAGAAAAGTTTGCATCTTTTTCCACTCATGAAATTCAACTTGCAGTAGTTGTTGCAAATAGGCAATTTCTCTTTCTATCTCTGCATTTACAATTATTCTTGCTAAATTCATTGGAATTTCCAAAGTGTTGTCTTCTGTCTAGCCAGGAGCACCTAGGAACTAAGATGTTACATTAAAAAAAAAGAAAAGCAAGACACTTAAACAGGGATCAGCCAAGAAAGAAATATAAAACAAAGACAAATCCTTTCCTAACTCTAAAAGCAGCACTTCCCCAAAACCTAGCTCCTGGAGTCTTTTGTTTCTGTCAAGACTTGAATCCCCCAAAACATTCTGGAATCTGCCAAAAAATAGGCAAAAGAACAATATTAGCACCCTCAAATGCGGGAGAAAATGGGAGAGAAAAGGAGTCAAAATGGACTAACAGCTTTACCCTAAAATCCCAGAAGAAAAGAGGCTGCTACTTCTTCTGAAATTAAAGTCTGCTGAAAGAGGCCACTGATGCTAAGTTTTGGAAGTTCTTGACACATAAGGAACGTTGTCAACATTGGAGCTACTCACTTAATAGTATGTATTTAGTGCAAGGCAGCAGCTTACACGACAGATATAGGGCACTTATAAACAAATAATTGGCAACCTTTCTTTCTGTTTAAAAAAAGAAAAAGAGAGGGAGAGAAATAGCTACACTCACCTCTAAATTTTATACAGCCAGGCTCTAAGACTGACAGATAAAACCTGATACAGTGACAAATGCTTGTGTCTGACCTCATAAATCCAAGCACATGCTGCACCTGAAACTCAAGGCTGACCTTTAAATGAGCTTTTTCACTGCTGATCACTTTAATCTCTTGCTAATGTGCTTTCCTGTGGAATGGGGATACACGTATTAGACACATGAAGAGCACAGCCAATTCACACACTTTTGTGATTGTAACTCACTGACTGATTTGTGATTGTAACTCACTGACGCAGGTGTCAGATCTCCTCTGCTGAACTGCAGAACAAAGAGGA